ATGAATTAATCCCTAATCCCTATGATCTCAGAATAAATACAAGATTTCGATTGTTTTAGCCACTGTGACCTTGACCCTTGACCTTTTGGCCCCAAATGCAAAAGGCTTCTTAGGATTACCAAGGACAATCCACAAACCAAATTTGAAGTTCATATGTAAAGTATTTCTCAAGTTATCGCGCTGACAAAATTTCTATTGTTTCAGCCACTGTGACCTTGACCCTTGACCTTTCGGCCCCAAATGCAATAGGCTTCTTAGGATTACCAAGAACAATACACAAACCAAATTTGAAATTCATATGTAAAGTATTTCTCAAGTTATCGCGCTGACAAAATTTCTTTTGTTTTAGCCACTGTGACCTTGACCCTTGACCTTTCGGCCCCAAATGCAATAGGCTTCTTAAGATTGCCAAGGACAATCCACAAACCAAATTTGAAGTTCATATGTAAAGTATATCTCAAGTTATCACGCTGACAAATTTCTTTTGTTTTAGCCACTGTGACCTTGACCCTTGACCTTTCGGCCCCAAATGCAAAAGGCTTCTCAGGATTGCCAAGGACAATCCACAAACCAAATTTGAAGTTCATATGTAAAGTATTTCTCAAGTTATCGCGCTGACAAAATTTCTATTGTTTCAGCCACTGTGACCTTGACCCTTGACCTTTCGGCCCCAAATGCAATAGGCCTCTTAGGATTACCAAGAACAATACACAGACCAAATTTGAAGTTCATATGTTAAGTATTTCTCAAGTTATCGTGCTGACAAGATTTGTCCGGACACACACACCCACACACCCACCCAGACTTGTTTCACATGACTAGTGTGGACTTTCCATTGCTTTCGTGTAGTTAAGAAAAACCAGTGAAAAAACTCATTTTTCTCAAACTGTGAAAACTCTTTCAACCCAATTTTTTTTCTATGATTCCCTTTAGTGTTTCTCTTCATTCTGCTACAGATAAACCTAACCCATAAATGCCTCTAAACCTGTTTTCCAGAAATGGGGAAACACTGTGTGGACGTGGGGTAAGTCCACACAACGTCGGTGCTACCTACATTATGTGGACGTCTTTTGTTCGGAAGTCCACACTGCGTATGTAAGACAAACTCACCCACCCACACACACACCCACACACCCACCCACCCACCCACCCACCCACGGAAGGACAAGGCGGAAACAGTATGCCCCTTCGGCTTCGCCGCGGGGCATAAAAATTAACTGGAGTGGAGTTAGAACCTGGTACCTCCAGATTGCAATTCGGGTGCTCTACCAAATGAGCTATCCTGCCCTGTGACTGACTAGCTTCCCCCTTCAACAAAACCATATTGACAAAATGGGGACCCCCCAACATAGAGCTGGATAGCTCAGTTGGTAGAGCACCGGAATGGTTAACTGGAGATTGAAGGTTCAAACCTCTCTCCATTCAATTTCTTTGTTCAACTTTAAAACTATAGAAGATGAGGATAGTATACAAAGAATGGATGTTTGTGAGTGCAATGGTAAGAATAATTTCATGAGGTGACAGATGAAATGTTCCATTCCACGAGGCGAACTTAAACAGTTCAATAAGTTCAGAACTTTTATTGCCAATTTAAACACCACAGCACCACCTTCGGCAACATGTGCAGTGACAGTGCAATGGTACTTCTAATCACAGTGCAATAGTACTTCCATTGCATACATGCGCTGCGCACCACGCGCACGCCGTGCATTAGTACGAATAATTCAATGACATGTGATCACGATCCACCAATCAGATGACAGGATTTATTCAGGTGTTGTATAAAAAACTATGCTACATACCGGTACATGGTCAGTAGTTAAAAACCAAAGCAGTAAAGGTCTACTGGATAATGCAAGTAACCTCTGCAAGGGTCATTGTCCAACACAGGGTGAGTATACATAGATCCCTGTATATCCTTGTGGAATTAGTCATTTTAGGAGCTGCAAATTGGCAGAGCAGGCCTGGCTCCATCGGATCCAGCCCAGACAAATTAGAAAAGCCAGGGGGGATTTAGGTTAATATCAAAGCAAGAGAATAAACAAAAAAAAACTGTAAAGCGTTTCTCAACCCCTTTATAACTTAAGTAGGATGCACGCAATGCAAACTTCTCATTACCGTTTTTAGGGGTTTATTGATGTGAACAGAATTTGTATTTTTATCAGTTTTTCTCACCTGTTTTCAACAGCTGTCTACGGGATCAATCCAATTGCCATAAACAGACCAAGACAACATTCTGCGGTACAGCAAATAGGGCCTACATGTATCGTTAAATTTTTCCCCTTGACAATTTACAAATCAATTGGGCAGATGTGCTTTGAAGCCTCAACCCATTTGTGATATTTTTAAAACAGATTCTCTGTCTCTCACCATGTCTTCATGAAAACAGCAATGATATTTGTGTCACATTTTATTATAAAAATAAAAGAGGACAATTAATACTTCTGCCGATTTTGAATTGAACCACAGGCTTGACAGGAAACAAGTACCAAGTGGTACAAACCACCGCGTGACGGCGGCCGGGTAGCAGCGAGGCCGGGCACCCAGGCCGTACCGGTACCTCGAGAGTACAGAAAACAAAAAGGAATGGGGCGTGATCTAATATGCAACAAGTATGCAAATTAGACGCATGCGCAACAGCGTTTGCAAACCCTGTCTTTGAATGCAAAGCTGTAATACTTGCAAAGCTGTAATACCGTACTTGAGTTGTATGAATACAATATATGGCCGAGTAAAGTGTCCACCAATCAACCAACCAACCCACCCACCAACCAACATAAGCAGCTGAAGCCCATGGCCTGTTTCACACTGCCGTATGAAGAACGGTATATGATTTTGTCCCTGTTACGGTACCTCTGAACTTTGCAATTCAAGTACATTTGTATCATTAATTAAGAATGACTTCAGACAATTTTCTATTTGTTGGTTAGTTTGCTATTCATAATCACTCTTGGAGGACAACTGCATAAAGGAGTGCATCAGAATTATCAAATCTGAGATGTGGTCAGATGTAACAAGGATAGGAAAACATGACCCCAAATTTATAGAATACCCCATCTCTAAAACGATTTGGGGAGGGGGGGTGGACTGATGACATTTTAAAGACTTACACAACACAATGTAGCTATTCCTTCACCAGCTACACAATTGGGTATAGAACAAGTCTCGTTAAGTTTTCTTTAAACCCTCATTACTCTACAAGTATCAACATCATAATGGTCCTGATTAGGAGCCGGTCTCAAGTGGACTTTACTTCATACAAAAATTACCAAGACAAGACATGTGTCAAATGCATCTTGTACTTAATGACAAAATAATTTCAACAAAAGGCTGCAAATGGAGTCTTTCATTTCCAGCAGTACAGTAGGGGAGTACAAATTTACTCAACTTCTCGGCTGCAGGAAATTTATTATGTACAGTAAATTAACAGTTTGTAACAAGAAGCGGCCAAGGCATGCCTATCAAGCTACATGTGTTCAAATTGATAGGAAGTAATTTCTCTTTATCAGGAGAGCAGCATGCCACGCAAACTTTGTTTGGAGTGAACACAGCTAAAGCCGTCAAAATGAGTGATCTAAGCGGTTCAGTGCCGAGCCAGGCATTGTAAACACCAGTGTTACCGGAAATGAAGGTTTGTGTACAGATTACACCCTTAATCACAAACATTACAAGAAAGCCTTAGAGAAATTATATCAAAGCAATAGCTGGAGAGCCCATCTCTCATCGCCTAGGCAAAGGCCTCGCTTCCCCGCGTTGCAAGAGGGGTGGGCGCGAGTGTGAAGTAACTCGTAGTTGTTAGAGGCTATGTATCTACCGTGACCGGCACTTTGGGCAGTCCGAAAATAAATGAGGAACTTCCTCTGTGAAGGCAGGGTATGTGTCATGCATTGCCAGTGCTTACTCCTTAGGGGGGGGGGGGGGGGGGGGGGAGGGGGAGGGGGGAGGGGGTGCAGAAATAATTCCGTTTTTGGTGGCAGTTGTGCCTCCTGATATCGTAAGGAACTGTATTGGCTTAGGAGGTTGGAATTTTCCGTCAATTGGAATGATTTAGAGGGTTCAAAATCCTCATCCATGTTGGGATCAGATTTCAGAGAAGTGTGTATTTTTAACACCAAGGGATGATAGCCTTTGATAATAAATTCTACAAATCATTCCAAGTTAAGTTCATTATTATGAAGTGGAAAAATGCAAATTTCTTACAGTTTTGATTGACCGGGACTGGCTGGATGAGACCAATTGTGTAAAGTAATTTCAAGAACAGAAATTTACTTCTTTTTTTCCAAAAACAGTTCAATTTGCTAAAAATTGGCCTGTACATGTACTTGACACTAATTGTCTGTTGTGCATTTTGGAATGATTTTAGTATTTGATCATTCCAACTTGGATTTGATTGCAAAATAGGTCTACTCGAAACGTGGTGATCAAGTTTTACATGCGCCAGCTTAAACTGGCTGTCATAAAATTTGCGTGCGCCTGCACTTGTTGAAAATGCAGAGCTTATTACAATAATATAATATAAATATCATCGTAAATGCATCAATCTATTTTTTCTACAGACGCATCATTGGAAATTTCCATTAGTAATTCGTTTTTTTTATTCGGCGAAGCGCACGCAAGCGTAGACACGTTGCACCCGTGTGGGCGATTGCTATAATTTGTCAGTTAAGTGCGTGACATCACGTAGCTGCAATCGTGTGAGAATGTGAGAACGTGTCTCGGACGCTGAATTCAGGCCCAATTCAAAACATGACAAAAACATTTTTGACTCTAGTCTAATTTGATCAAAACAAAACAGGGGCCCTACACTTCACGATCGCCACATTTTATGGGGCTACAATTTACGAACATAATGCACAAATTACAAATGATGGACGCTACCTTTAAAAAAATCATTTGGTTCTCATGTATTTTTAGACTGACCCCCAGTTCTTCTTGACTACACGTCTAGTACACAAAATACAACGAATATGGCGTATTTTTGAAGAAAATAAACAACTTACCGAGTCATTTTCGAAGACATTCAGAATTTCCGCCCAACGACTTTCCAGGTTAGCACATGTCTGGTACCGATCTCGACAATATGGTGTACTAAACAGTTAGAGATTAAAGGCACCATGCTCGTAGACCTTGAAATTGGACTAGCAATGTCGTCAGAGGGCGCTGCGATTGGCGACCGATCAAAATCACACAGAGACGTCTTTGGTATGGTAACGGTAAACGCGTGGTAAAGGATTTTAAATTAAAAATTCTCCCCAAAATAAGAGCTGCAATTGTGGTCTTTAAATCTGGAAACATTATCAGCAGTCGATTTTAAAAGGGATTATTAATTTAAGATAGCAAAACAAACAAACAAATACAATCTTTGAATATCGGAACGCTTAAAAAAATCCTGAAGTAGCTGGAACCACAGTAAGCCAACCAGAGCATAAGCCTACGTTAATATCTTCAAAGTGATTCTAAATTCAAGTTTTCATTAATAATTCTCGTGATACTCGAGCAATACAAATTGAGGGACCCCCCCCCCTTTTTTGCATCTGCATAACTGTCGAGTTAGTATGCCGTCGTCCTATAATTAAGGAGTTTTAATTTTCGATCTGGTGTCAAGAAATTACATTTTGGTTAACACGCGTGCAAGGAAACACCTAAGTCAGATCACCAGGTTAATTAGCACCAATCATCTAAGACCAGAACACCGCCTACGACTTATGAAAGTGGCGGCAAAATTCATCAGTGAATACGTCTTTCCCGTGTTTGTTTGATGTGAGAACCTTTAGCTTGTGTGTTGAATCAAATTGTGTGGCTTCCTGTATTGATCTGTTGGCATTCGTTTGATGATTCTAACCGACTTCTGTTAGTTTGGCAAGCTAATTGTCGAAGACAATTACCCTACACAGGGTATCTCTTTCACATTTGTAAACAATCACATTTTTTCGGAACCCTCTTTTGAAAACCACAGCCCTTGGTTTACCGCCAATCACAGCGCTGTGTCGGCACACCCGCGGTCTCCTTTGTTTTGTTTTGTAATTAACACATGGTACCTTTGCTGTGGTATGGATAGTTTACAACACGGCGGTGGGCCTGCGGTCGGCAGACCCATCTAACGGGACGCTATGTTTGCTGTGCTGAAAGTGACAGCCGGAATGCGGTGTCAATACCGCTATTAGTCCCCCTGTTGTCCCGTGCACACCTAGTCGAAAAGAGCTTACCAACACGGGGGTGATTACATTGTGTCCCCCATCTCCCCGACTGAAGAAAATGTCACAACAGAGTGAATAAACCCTCCCGCGAAGAGTGTGGAGATGCTAACGAAATTAACTCGGCGCGAAAAAAAACCTTTTTGAATGGAATGGAGCCGTTTCTCTAATAAGAGCAGGTCCATCTCGAACGAGGAAAACTCGCCGGCAAACAATCACAAAACACATTAATGCGGATGTGTTTTTACGAGTGGTGTTTTCAAAGCCGCGACTTTTTTACTAGTTTACTGGATGCAGAATTAATCAAAGATTTCGGCCTTTGTGCACCGCGGCGGCTGTAAATAACTGGGCGTAATAGCCCTCTTTTAAAGCTTGTCGAGATGGATCGAATAAAAAGTGCCTCCTCTCCCTCCCCCCTCTTGATGTCATGTCTTTTGAGTGAGGCTGTCATGACCCCTCCACCCACACATCCCAAACAAAATCCAACTTTTTACACATTAAGAAAAAGGGGAAGGTGTTTTTGGTGTCTGTGTGGGGATGCGAGGGGGAGGGTTGTTTTGTTCAGTCTTGCATTCAGTCACACTATATTATACGTGTGTGACAACATCCAACAAAGGCAAAGGGAGAATCTCCTAGGCCTACATTTAATCATACCGGAACGCTGTTATATTGGTGGCGAGATTAAATCGTTAATCCCTTCCAAAAGTTCTAGGATTAGGACCCCTAATGACAGGCCTGGGGGTGTTGGGCTTTTTATGTCGCTTCTTTGCCGTCGTCTCTACTCCGGTAGGGGGTAAGGGGTGTGAAGAAAACTCCCTTGGTGGTATCTTAGTGAGGATTTGATATAAAAAAAATCTGGGATTTTCAGAAGCCGATTTCAGATGAACGATCGTTCACTTCCGCAACCACCTTTGTTTCCTGCTTCGATGTAAGATGTAACTTATTTCTAAACGTTTTCATTTATAAAAATAGAGCTGTTCCACACATAACAGACCTCTGGCGTGCCAGAGTATAACTATAAGTAGGACCGTTTCGAAAAGTTTCTTTCAAAATCCAAGATAGTGTAAAAAGATTACTGCATTCGACCCGATTTGGCCATATTTTCAAATTTCAAAAGATCTTCCTTAGATCGCATCTACGCTTGATTCATTACTCTCTCTATCCCTTGACAGGTGATTCTTATTGGCAAACAGCCCAGTTGAGGTTAATCACTTTTAAATAAACAAAGGTAACAATAAACTGCTTGAACAGTCGGTAAATTTGTTAACAAGTTTTTCACAAGAATAATCAGCAATTTGGACAATTGGAGTTCCTCCTCTATTTTAATTCTGTCCAAACGGTGGGCCCACCAGGGTTTCGCTAAAGCAGCAATGTACTAGTCAACACTGCATTGTTCCTTTTCTTTCGCCATGTGTTGTTTGTCTGTTTGTCCTTTTTTTGGGAAAAACACACAGTGATCAGAAAATAAATAGCATTTTATCAGAATGATGCGCGCTATCGGATTTGACACACCTGAGTCAACACGGCTATACATAATCGCATAGCACACACCGGCGTGATAGTTCCAGCACGGCGAGCACCTATGCGCCATGGGGGTGCTGCGAACTAATTTCCCCTCTATAAACTCCGTCAAGCTACGCTGAGCGGTTTTTTTTTTAAGCAAACGACGGGTAAATGTACAACAATTAGCAGAACTATTCGTGACTTGCCACCACAAAATGAGCACAAAGTGTGACTTTTTAAGAATTGGTATATTTGTTATTTCTGGATTCTGCAGAACAAGAGCTTTCTATAATGGTACATTGGGGTACTGACTTCTGCAACGGAACTATAGACCGCCAACTAAATTTAAGTTGTAAAAGTAGTTTTTGAAGAAACGACATTTAAAATTCCTGCTGTCGTGTTACAGTGAATGAACAGCCAACTACTCCAACGGGAAGAAAGTAGGTTATAAAGATATTTGATTGAACAAAGCAATCGGGAAACTTAGAACAGGATTTACAGATTTAAGGTTCAACTGAAATTTGAAAACAATAATCGATCAGTCTGATTTTGGTTTTAAGTTAACCCACTGTATACAGCAAAATGGTAATATTGATATTTTTGTACAAAACCTATGCGCTCTCTCGAAAGGATGACAACCAAGGGTGGCAGCCAAAGAAAAGGTTTTGTATTTCAAACAACCGAACAGAAATAGCCTACATCCATCTTGGTCTTTACACCACAGCTCCTCGGTGGAATAAAATGAAAATGAAAACATGCCCCGGCACGGATCTGATTGTATACAGAAAAAAAAAGAGAGAATACCTCAAGCATCACACAGAAGTTTGTTCAAAGTCTGTCAACAAATCAATCTGATCGCCCTGAGGTGCGTCTGACAAGAATTGGTACACACAATGCGACAATAATGACACTTGGAAATGGCCGGGGTGTTTTTGTGATTATACGGGCCAGGGGTATGGGTGTCAGGGTCCGAGGGGGCTCGCCGGAGCAGGACCGGGTGACGGCCGGTCGAGTAGTGGGGCAGGGAGCTCGGAGAGGGGTGACTGCCCGCCGAACAATCACCCATGTCACCGCTAGCGATATACGGCATTAAGAACTCAGTTTGCTCAAATGTCGGTCTCTCCGTGGTAAAATAGATTTAGGGTGAATGACGTTTACCTGCACAGGTACAGCATTTTCATGAGCATTTTTTTCTAACGAATTACTTTGACAAGCTCTTTGGGAAGGAAGTTACTTTAAGGTCACCGAACTGTGAATTTTGGAAACGTGCATTTTTAAATTGAGTGTGTTTATATTTGAGCCTCTCTTCAGTTGTTAAGATGTAAATAATGTTCCTGAATTGTTTGCAACAACTTTATATTTAACAATTATTTGAATAAGTGGACACAGATAACAACATAGCTTTAACGTTAAAAATTGTCCTCTTAAAGATGACAACAATAATGGAGGGTTAGAGCATGGACATTAAAAACGGACATCGACAAGAACATCGATTCGAAAATTTCAAAACAAACGATGTTCCTCAAATTGTTTTCCCTTTCCCCGTGAATTTTATTTTCATGTCAACCAAATGTTTCCAGGCACCGAAGTGGGCCGCCGAAATCGCCGACACATGTAAATTTGTACACTTTCTCAAAACACACGTACTAACAAACAGGACTATGTTGCAGCCAGATGTTTTACAAGCACGCCGATTGCAGCCGATACGGAGATACAAGTAATAATATCATTCATGTTATGATGTTTACTAGCTCATGCACAGTGCTGCACATGTGCTGTGACAGTCACGTTGTCCCCCACCTGACCCCAGCGTTCCGGTACCGGTGATGTTCAGGGAGAGATGCCAGCTCCCTGGACGGCCCCGTTATGGCTTTAGCGCCTGGCGTTACGGCTGATGTCGCCCCTTGATGGCACTGCCAGATTGCTTCGTGATGTGGTGCTGGTCGTAACTGCGATTTTAAAGGAGCTCTTTGACTCTTGGTTTGAGGCGACGAAGCTTCAAAGATGGATAATTGAACACATGCATGGGAAATGGGGAGAGAGATTCGTAACATCTTCCCTGCTTGAAAATACAAAATTGGTTTAGATCTATACGGATGGCCAATGAAAGGCTCATAATACTACTTGGTGAAAATGTGTGTACTACTAATAATGGTAGTGTTTCTGTCCACTTTCAGAACAAAATTCACACCTTAAGAAAATAAGCAAGTGTTGTCATTCTGCCGGACGTTGGATAAAAAACGACTACGGTGCCTATACTTTTGGGCAAATCTGTTCTACTCGAATTAATAAACAATTGAAGAAATTTTGTTTTAATTTTCGAGCAATGTCTACCATTTTTTAATTTTGGCCACGTTTAGTCCAAAACGTTGTGTAATATGGTAATTGTGCATTTGGAATCATTAATGTAATTTGTTTAAAATTCGGACCTTGTTTGAATCCGAAC